TTTTTGTTGACCTTTGTCCATGGAAGGTCCCTGCAAAATTTCATTGAAATTGGTTCAGGGGTTTTGGAGAAGAAGTCGAAAATGTAAATTGTTTACGGACGCACGACGGACGACAAACGACGGACGACGACGGACAAAAGGCGATCGCAATAGGTCACTTGAGACTTTGTCTCAGGTGACCTAAAAAAATCAGCACTAAAATTGGCATATACATGATGATGTGGACTATATATATATATATATATGTGGGCTTCACATTTAAAAAAATAAATAAACGAATTTGGTTTGAGACTACATTTTTGGCCATTAGCTAGCTTTTCATGTAGTCTACTTTTGTACTCAGCACATGTGTCATGTGTAAATATTGTGAAAAATCCAGTTGAACGACCTATGCTAAAACGTGAGTATTTCTCTTAACGAGTAGGTGATATTCAATTTAAGACAGGTTTTAAGAAAATGCGTGGGTCATATTTTGGGTTAAAAAGCATGTTTTTTAGTATTTTTTGGCGTTTTTGATGTGGTAACCATGGTTTTCACAAGTCCCAAATCTGGGGAAATCACTTTTGAAAAAAAAATCATTCTTCTAAAAAAAATGTATTCAAAATGTAGTTTATAAATATACATTCATATGTAGGTGTGTTGTGCAGGATGAATCCGCTATTCATGTTTATAAAGACATGCCCTTTATTTTTAGGATCAGGCCATTTCTACTGTACTCTGTACTACACAGGTTATCTTAGACGTTAACCTGCCCAGTTTCGTCTGAGATAACCTGTTTTTAATTGTACACATTGTCCCTAAAAAAAATAGTTGTGCCCAACCTGTTCAATTTACACATTTTAAGGGTCGTCTTCTTAACAGTTAACCCTACTGTTGTGATCAACAATAGTTTGATATGATGAGCTGTTACATCATGAGTGACATTGTTTGTAAGCTGAGGCTTGTGGTGTTATATCTTCTTTATCTCTTCACTGTTTATGTTGACGCCAGAATATCCTGCCAGCAAAGGACCATATTTGGGCAGGAATGAAAACTATCTACATCTCCTTACACAATTTTAAAATAAAATGTAGAAAATTTATGCTGAAAAGATTTTTTGAAATTACTAAATTCTTGTCCTCTTCTCCTAAGTTCTGGTATTCGAGCTGACCATTTGTAGACAGCTAGGTCACACCAAGTACTAGTAGGCTACTACACATTTTGTAAACAGCTAGATCACACCAGGTACTAGTAGGCTATTTGACCATTTGTAGACAGCTAGGTCACACCAAGTACTAGTAGGCTACTACAATTTGTAAACAGCTATGTCACACCAAGTACTGGTAGGCTAGTACACATTTTGTAAACGGCTAGGTCACACCAACTACTAGTAGGCTACTAGACCATTTGTAGACATCTAGGTCACACCAAGTAGTAGTAGGCTACTACCACTTGTAAACAGCTAGGTCACACCCAGTACTAGTAGGCTACTACAATTTGTAAACAGCTAGCTAGGTCACACCAAGTACTAGTAGGCTACTATACATTTTGTAAACAGACAGCTAGGTCACACCAAGTACTAGTAGGCTACTTGACCATTTGTAGACAGCTAGGTCACACCAAGTACTAGTAGGCTACTACCCTTTGTAAACAGCTAGGTCACACAAAGTACTAGTAGGCTACTTGACCATTTGTAGACAGCTAGGTTACACCAAGTACTAGTAGGCTACTACCACTTGTAAACAGCTAGGTCACACCAAGTACTAGTAGGCTACTACACATTTTGTAAACAGCTAGCTAGGTCACACCAAGTACATGTACTAGTAGGCTACTTGACCATTTGTAAACAGCTAGGTCACACCAAGTACTAGTAGGCTACTACACAGTTTTTGTGAGTTCCATATTTTGACTTCGGATTTTGATTTCATCATGGATTCCAAAGCTAAACCCCATTATTACCCATATGCGCCGTTGTACCCAACCTGTTAAAGAGTCATCGACATTAATCCTATTGAAGGCTCTGAAGTAGGATTTCACACACTAAAATACTGGGTCACACACTATACTATTACCCATTTCGAGTAAAGGAATGTGCTGACTTTCCTTGGGTGGGTCCTTAGACCAGTTGTGTCGAGTTTGAATGGTTTCTTGAATATCTGTTTAGTGTGTTCTCTTGTTACCAACCTGAATCCGATATAGTTATTTTATTATGTACTGTGTCAATATCACATCCACTGATACAGAAGATGAAAATGGAAGATATTGATTTGACTAAACAGAGTATAAACAGCATGCAGTGACGGGCATGACAGGATGGATATTTCTAATAACAGAAACGATTCCTTAACAGTAAACGACAATAATGATATCAGAGGACCGACCGCACCTTATCAGCGTCTCCTTTTGATGCTTTCAGTTGGCGAACTACTTCACCCTGTGCGCGGACTTTTTCTTGGAGATTAGCCTTCACATCTGTTTCACACTCAGCCATGATGCAATGCCGGTACTTACGCGATTGATTTACGCTCTCAACACAAACGATTCGACATGGAGTGTTGAACACGACAAAACTACACAGGTTATAGAAACTAATTTTTGAATCGGAATAGCGGCGCCTTATCCGGAAGTACTACGAGTTTTATGGTTTTAATAAAAGATGCATTAAAACCATTTCCAAAAGACGTAAGCCAGACAGTACACATTAAAAATATGGTGTTCATAGAAAAGATGATGTAACTGAACAAAACATATTTTTAACTTCTGTTTTTCTAACATTTTTATACATTTCTTTAGAAAATTTAAATGAAAAATTGTTTTTAACAATTTTTCTTACATTTATGACACTTCATCAGAGACGTATAACGCCATGTGTTATATACGTCTCTGACTTCATACAGGGATTTCTATTTGTTGTCGCATGCCATTGTTCTCAAACATTCAACTATTTAGTACCATATGTCTGTACCAGGAAAAAATAATATTCGCTTGTACGTTTATCAATTATGAAATTTTGTTGAGTTGATGTTCAACCATGACAAAATGAAAGTCAAAATATTTTTTTAAGTCAACTGATATAACCATGACATTTTCACCAAAATAAAATGTCCTGAATTATAATTTCCTATAAAGGTGCTTTGATTTGTCAAAACCGTGGGGACACACTCCTATGCCACTACAAGTACCATTTTTATTTAACTGCATGTTTTTCTTATTATTTTTTTTTTTTTTTTTGCTAAATAACTACTTTGCACTGCACGGAACAACAATACTATGATCTTAGTACTTTGGTTTTGACCTATACACATAATTGTGTTTGTTCAAAGTTTATTTCAAAACATAATCTCACATGAGTGTACAAAAAGACTCATGTCATATCAATTTATTGAGCTCATTCAATAAATTCCAAAGGACATAGACACTCAGCATGTTTTATCAAGAAAATACTACAGACTAATATAGATAAAATCTAGTTCCATGGCAACGATGACCTGCTGTGAATGGCTCACCTGGTATTAATCTCACTCTTGTAATCTTAAAAGTGGACAATTATACAGCTACAGGCAAAATATGTGTGTTGGGTCCATTTGAATCTATTAAATGATTTAAAATATATGACACCTGTAACTTTGAAAGTTTATAGCCTTCCGTCCCGGCATACTTCTGGCTAAATATCATTACTCTGGACCTTTTGAATATTCAGAACAAGTCATTTAAAGATTTAAACATATTTGATCCCTGTGACCTTAAATATGAGCAAAGGTCATTCATTTGAACAAACTTGGTAGCCCTTCATCCCAGCATGTTACTGGCCAAATATCATTAGCCTATGCCTTTTTGATATTCAGGAGAAGTTGTGTAAAGGTTTTTAACATATTTGACCCCTGTGGCTTTGAAAATATATGGGGGTCATTCGTTTGATCAAACTTGGTAGCCCTTGATCCCAGCATGTTACTGGCCAAATATCATCATCCAAGGCATTTTGGTTATTGAGAAGAAGTTTTTAAAAGATGTTTAACATATTTGACCCCTGTGACCTTGAAAAAAGATGAAGGTCATTTGTTTAAACAAACTTGGTAGCCCGTTATCCCAGCATGTTATTGGCCAAATATCATTATCCTAGGCTTCTTGGTTATTCAGAAGAAGTTGTTTAAAGGTTTTAAACATATTTGACCCCTGTGACCTTGAATATAAGTCAAGTTCAATCATTTGAACAAACTCTGTAGCCCTCTATTACAGCATGCTACTGGTTAAATAGAATCATCCTAGGCCCTCTTTGTATTGAGTAGAAGTTGTTCAAAGGTTTTAAACATATTTGACCCCTGTGACTTTGAATATAAATAAAGGTCATTTAAACTTGGTAGCCCTTTATGCCAGCAAGTTTCTGGCCAAATATCATTATCATAGGCGTCTTGGTTATTGAAAAGAAGTTGTTTGAAGGTTTTAAACATGACCCCTGTGACCTTGAATATAGGTAAAGGTCATTCATTTTAACAAAACTTAGTAGCCCTTCATCCCAGCATGCTACTGGCCAAATATCATGTTATTCAGAAGAAGTTGTTTAAAGTTTTTAATATATTTGACCCCTGTTACCTTGAAAATAGGTGAAGGTCATTTATTTGAACAAACTTGGTAGCCATTCATTCCAGTTTACTTCTGGCCAAATATCATCGCCCTAGGCCTTTCGGTTATTTAGAAGAAGTCGTTTAAAGTAAAATATTGACGACAGACGACAGACCACGACATAAGCTCACTTGGCACATCGTGCCAGGTGAGCTAAAATTGGTGTTATATATATATATATAGACCTCTACTGGCTGTACTGTATACAGAACTACATAAAATTGTCTATATTGTTATAGGGTGGGGATCTCGGCCACTTTCACGTTATAACCCAGAGACTAAGTCCCTACGGGCAGGGACAGACCCTGAGCCAATTCAATGTAAGTATATATTGGTCTTTTCACAGTCATTAACTGTATATGTGTATGGTGATGAGATAGGACCCTCAACGATTTCGATTTTGTGACCAAGAATGAGCTGACCATTCACTTTAGAGTCGATCCTTATGGTAATAATAGTGTTATCTTTTTTTATTCCTGTGACTGGTGGTAATTAATTTTGCACACTTCGCAGCATTTAATGCCATGAAGCTTCTGGCCAAATATCATGATGCCAGGCCCTTTGACTCACCAGGAAAAGATATTTGAGTGTTTCAGTGTTGGACAAATTGATGTTTAAATCTATAGTACTCAAGACCTGGACTTTACTGGCTGTATATCAGGACTCTTTCACCTTCAGGCAGGTGAGCTGAAACATGAGTGTTCAAGTACGCACAACATATGGCAAAATGCCCAGTAGCGGCCATGTTTACAAACATATTTAGTTTTCCTTCACAAACTTTGAAGTACATTTACTGAATGTCACCGTTATTGGTCCACAGAAGCGGCCAGCCCCTTCTCCATCGTAAATTGTTAAAGAGTGGGAATCTCAACCAATTCTTGTTATGACATCTCTCATTGGGACAAAGTATAAATGAGCAGGGTCATTTGAATTTCTTCTAGCATACTTGTTTTTGATTTCTTTTATTGCTAGCAATTATATATGGTTATGGAGTAGCTGGATCTCAGCAAATTTCCATGTTATTTTAATTGTGATTGTGGGACTAATTACTCAGCCCCTGGGCCAGTCCTAGAACTAAAAGCATGTGTATCCTAATCTTCATGCAAAGCTTATACATTAGACGACAATGGACGACAGATGATGCACTACTGCATAAACTCACACGGCCATTTGGGCCAGATTAGCTAAAAGAAACAAATGAAATTAAAGTGTTCATTGCATTGTTTATTACAATTTTTACATGAGTTGACATGATGTATCCTAATTAAATTTATCAGTATAATAGTCACATTCACAACATACACACATAACATCCATGATAAAAACACACTTCCAATGTCTGCCTCCATCTCTAGCGTATTAGCTCTACTACTGGAGCCTACCAATGTCTGCCTCCATCTCTAGCATATTACCTCTACTACTGGAACCTACTAAGTACTCTCATCAGGCTATCATATTGGAACTTCATTTAAAATCAACATGTACATAGTATTCAACACATACTGGGTAAATGTATCAGCCATACTCATTTGATTACCATTTTATTATAAAAACATACCGATAACAGTAACAGACAGCCAGGCCTTGGTATATAACTGGTCTTAATCGCACAGTCAGTGAGAGTAATCACAGCTCACCACCAGTCAGTGAGAGTAATCACAGCTCACCACCAGTCAATGAGAGTAATCACAGCTCACCACCAGTCAGTGAGGGTAATTACAGCTCACCACCAGTCAGTGAGAGTAATCACAGCTCACCACCAGTCAGTGAGAGTAATCACAGCTCACCACCAGTCAGTGAGGGTAATCACAGCTCACCACAAGTCAGTGAGGGTATTCACAGCTCACCACCAGTCAGCGCGGGCAATCACAGCTCACCACCAGTCAGCGAGGGTAATCACAGCTCACCACCAGTAAGTGAGGGTATCGGCAGGCTCTTTATCATATAAACAGACATTTCACAATTGGAGACATGTACTTTTAACTACTGATAGTTTCCATGTTTAGGACAAACGTTGAATTGAGACAATACATCACGTGTAGAAGCAACAAAGAAATAAATATAACTTAACAGGAGTTGAAAGGGAAGGACATATAACTACAGAAAAACTAATTACAATCAATATCATAGAAATTTGAGGTAATTCAGTTCTTTGCAAAATGTTATTTATAAATAAATGTCCATCACAAAATGATTTGAGTTTATATTCCTCTTTATTTTCTACCATGTTAAGAGTTCGGAAACAAAAGTTCCCTATATAACAAGATGAAAATATTAATTAACATGTGTACACACGTTTTCCCTTAATAACATACCATATTTACACTGCAAAAGGCCCAGGGGGCCAACACGAATCACAGAATAAAAGTTGGGATGTCCAATGAAGTTCATCTAAAATTCAAACTCTTACACAGTATAACAGACTGGCTTTATGGTCTTGATCAAATCTAGTATGTACTGGTCTATGGTTGAGAGTCTTACCTATAAATTCTTTTTCTCTGGCAAAGTAATTGATTATCAAATGTATAGCTTAAGGAGGAAATCTGACAGATTTCATTGGTGCTGGAGATTATATTTCAGCTTTGCTCTGTAGAATAACTGAAAGAACTTTCATGTTTTAGTGCAAGTTAGTCATATTTAAACAAAACTTCCAGAATTTAAGCATTAGAATGGACCCCAATGATACACGTGGAGCTGTTCCTGCCCTATACAATCAACATCAGTTCTGTATCTAGCCTGAACAGGCCCCTTAATAGTCCACCCTAAACAGGCCCCTAGTCATGACACCCTAAGCAAGCCCTATGCCTCTAATCAGTCTTTGCTAAACAGGCCCCTAGGTAGTCCACCCTACACAGGCCCCTTAATAGTCCACCCTAAACAGTCAACTCTAAACAGTCCACCCTTAACAGTCTACCACCCTAAACAGTCCACCCTCAATAGTCTACCACCCTCAACAGTCCACCCTCATCAGTCCACCCTCACCAGTCTACCACCCTAAACAGTCCACCCTCATCAGTCCACCCTCATCAGTCCACCCTCAACAGTCCCCTAAACAGTCCACCTGATACAGGCCCTTAGGCAGTCCACCCTCAACAGTCCCCTAAACAGTCCACCACCCTAAACAGTCCACCCTCAACAGTCCACCTTCAACAGTCCACCTTCAACAGTCCCCTAAACAGTCCACCTGATACAGGCCCTTACGCAGTCCACCCGAAACAGGCCGCTAAAAGTCTACCCTGAACAGGCCCCTAAACAGTCAACTCTAAACAGGCCCCTAGGAATACCCAGTCCATCCTTGCAGTCCAACCTAAACAGGCCGCTAGTCAGTCCACTCAAAACAGTGTAAGAAATTACAGGATAAACACCATTCACGTTCAAGTATGTGTCCTTTACGATTGTGACCATTTTATGCTTTCAATATACAATTTTGTGTAAGTTTGAACAGGTATACATTTGATGCATTAAATTATGTTCATTGCTTAAATAGAATACATAAATAGTAATTATGTTCATTGCTTAAATAGAATACATAAATAGTAATTATGTTATGATAGCGTTCAATTCCTGATTTTGACTGTTAACTGGTGAGAAAGTGCTTACATTAACACAACAATAATATCGTTTATCAGAGGAACATCATTTAAATACCATATTGCATTGGATCGTGTGTCTCAATTTATACATCACATGATACTGTACATATCACAGCAATTCATCTTTGAACAACAAATAAAATACATATACAAGTTCATTTATATAAATACATTTTTCAAGAGTGTACAATTTTACTAGCCCAGGACTAGTAGATTTTTCCAAAGGAAATAATGTTCAGGCTATTAGACTTTTTCAAAATCTACATGTGGGCTAGTATACTACATTATATTGTACACCCCTTATATGTTATGACTGTTTTGATGAAATTTTCGTATGAAATAGAAATGTTTTTCAATGATAAGTTCAATAATTGCAACTTAAACCACTCGGATACATTCCTGTGAATATACAGGCTTGCGTGATCCCTGAATTTTCATTATGAACTTATCCAACCTTTGATTTGGAAGAGTGACATTTAGTCTTAAGGTGTGAATTAGTTAAATACACTTACCAACTTAAAATGTTACAATAAGCAGACATCAAGGATTAGTACCTTAGGAATGTTTCCCTGGAAACAGATCAGGTATGTCTGTCATACTGCTACAGCAATCACACACAAGTTCATCATACAAAGATGTCTTTGAAATGAGCATTGCACAAGGATAATGAACACTCCTGTTACACAAGGATAATGAACACTCCTGTTACACAAGGATAATGAACACTCCTGTTACACAAGGATAATGAACACTCCTGTTACACAAGGATAATGAACACTCCTGTTACACAAGGATAATGAACACTCCTGTTACACAAGGATAATGAACACTCCTGTTACACAAGGATAATGAACACTCCTGTTACACAAGGATAATGAACACTCCTGTTACACAAGGATAATGAACACTCCTGTTACACAAGGATAATGAACACTCCTGTTACACAAGGATAATGAACACTCCTGTTACACAAGGATAATGAACACTCCTGTTACACAAGGATAATGAACACTCCTGTTACACAAGGATAATGAACACTCCTGTTACACAAGGATAATGAACACTCCTGTTACACAAGGATAATGAACACTCCTGTTACACAAGGATAATGAACACTCCTGTTACACAAGGATAATGAACACTCCTGTTACACAAGGATAATGAACACTCCTGTTACACAAGGATAATGAACACTCCTGTTACACAAGGATAATGAACACTCCTGTTACACAAGGATAATGAACACTCCTGTTACACAAGGATAATGAACACTCCTGTTACACAAGGATAATGAACACTCCTGTTACACAAGGATAATGAACACTCCTGTTACACAAGGATAATGAACACTCCTGTTACACAAGGATAATGAACACTCCTGTTAAATGACAAAAATCATTTTCACACATAGCACCTTGTATTGTGGATAAAATGTTTCATGTGGAGTTTTTGTACAAATGTCGAGTTTTTATGAAAGAGGTTTTCAAATTTAAAGTTTTGAAAAAAATAACTGAAATACTGTCGGCTGCCTGGCCTTGATTGTTCCTGGCAGATAGCTTTCAATTGTACCATATAATTCAATCACTCACAGACAGCCTTGATTTCTACTTTCAAATTCACTGGCAGATAGCAATAACTTTTACTATCAAAGTCAATTATTGAGAGTCAGCAGAGGTTTGAATTGTATAAATCAAGGAATTGCCCATTTTCTTGTCACACGCTTTCAATGGCAAGATTTCCATCCCTTACGTATTTTAGCACCAAATTGTTTTCATTGAATCAATAAGTACAACACAGTTCCAGGAAATTTCGAGGTGTTTAATGTTAGAAAAATGATGAAAATCCAAATGCTGATGATTTGTGATGAAAACTGTTTTTGGTTAACACCTTATTCACATTTATGAAACAATTGTTATCTGTTGAATATTGTGTAATGATAAACTGAATATTTATATAATTATAGTTACAAGGATACTCAAGGACACTCAACTGGATATTAGCCAGATATTCTCATTAAAAGAAACAAAGTTCAAAGGGATGGGCAATCCTGGTAGCATATGTGTATCGAAATCTTCCTACTCAGCAATGGTTTATTTTGTTACAGCTCTTTTGTCCGTCACCAAGTGTGTAAACAGTCTTGCTGTTTGTCACCAGTGTGTGACTAGCCCTGCTGTTTGTCACCAGTGTGTGACCAGCCCTGCTGTTTGTCACCAGAGTGTCACCAGCCCTGCTGTTTGTCACCAGTGTGTGACAAGCCCTGCTGTTTGTCACCAGTGTGTGACCAGCCCTGCTGTTTGTCACCAAAGTGTCACCAGCCCTGCTGTTTGTCACCAGTGTGTGACAAGCCCTGCTGTTTGTCACCAGTGCGTGACCAGCCCTGCTGTTTGTCACCAGTGTGTGACAGGCCCTGCTGTTTGTCACCAGTGTGTGACGAGCCCTGCTGTTTGTCACCATTGTGTGACCAGCCCTGCTGTTTGTAACCAGTGTGTGACCAGCCCTGCTGTTTGTCACCATTGTGTGACAAGCCCTGCTGTTTGTCACCAGTGTGTGACCAGAGTACACTTTGAACCCTATTCTCCCTCATTTTCTCTCCTCAAAATGACAAAGTGTTGTAACACAACAGTAACAATAACCAAAGTCATGATGACCAGTCTATTATAACCAAAGTAGCTCAGAATCCTTGACAGCCATAGTCATCGTTGCCTTTGCATGTACATAAGGATTCGTTTGATCCCGTTCAATCGTTCTTCATATGACCGCATCGCAAGCATGGTCATCTGTATCCGAGTGTCGAGTGGGAGAACTGACAGTGTCCACCACAGCCAGGCACTGCCGTTAGGGTTGTTGTGGAAATCCTGTTCTAGGCCTGGGAACTGTCCGAGATGACGGAGTATCTGTTCTCTCTGCATCCCTGTGAGTTTGTCAAGCCAGGACTTGGCCAACCCATACACCTCTGTCTGTAGGACACTGATACCTTAAGTAGAATCATATCAGTAATGTAGAGGGCTAGATTCCAAAAGCCTAAAAGAAATTATACGGCTATATATTTGGACACATTCTCAGTCAAAGTGAATATTCTGTGTTTGTTAATTTACCAATTAGTCAGAAATAGGTGAAACACTTCCCATTTTGTTGTTAAAGTGTATTGATCTAAACTTCACATTTTATATATATACACAAGGAAAGACATTTCGATGCAATCCCAGTCCCTCACTGTTAATGATTTCTTTATTTACCTATAGCTAGCTCTATACATTTCTCAGGATATAGGCTACAGTGACATACTTCTTACACTACACATTCTGCCAGCTAGGGCATACTTACATACCAAATCTGGTTACTGTAAGTTAATAGGTATAGCAGATATAACCTAGACAAACTTTGTAGATGGACCAGCTCTATTCCTTTCCGGGAAATAGTTTTGGACTTAAATTACATCGAACACAGCACCTGAGTGGCCCTTTTAAAAGATATATACTTTCGTGTTTATACGATAAAAATGATTGCAGTGATATACTGATTTTTTTTATCCTGACCTCATTTAATTTACCATAGATTTCCTTATACTGACCACAGATGTTCTAGACACTTTTATTAAAGTCATTGTTGACATCAATTATCAGTAACACAATATTTATTTTTAAAGCCAGTCAATGAAAGTTCATGGGCAAATTAACCAAGTTGCATTAAGTAGTTTCATGGAGACTAATTAAGTTCAAGTATCTGGCAAAATTTCTTTGGATGTTTTAAACAAGATTTGTATATCCAATACTTACGAGGATGATCTACCTCAGATATAGGCTGGTCAGTGAGGAACTCCACCTTAGCAGTATCGTAGCCATCCTTGTGACCTTGGCTGATGACCTTGAACCGCTTGCCTCCAATCGTGTCCACTAAAGATCGTCCATCTGGGAAGAACTGAACGTCTCGGATCTCCAACATACACCCAAATTCAGAAAATCCTTGCCTGACAAACAAACATTGCAGAGATTATTATTCTGCTTTACAAGACAGTTTAACCTTCACCTTTTTTCGACCTCCATAATGAGAGTCAATTTATCATTAAAGCCAACTTTTATTTATTAAATACATGTCAAATATAGCAAATTTGAAGGATAAAATTAACACTGGGGGAATACAGATTTTACCAGCGTAGGGTGAAGGATGTAATGAACACTGGGGGAATACAGATTTCACCAGCGTAGGGTGAGGGTGTAATGAACACTGGGGGAATACAGATTTTACCAGCATAGGTGAAGGGTATAATTAACACTGGGGGAATACAGATTTTACCAGCGTAGGGTGAAGGATGTAATGAACACTGGGGGAATACAGATTTTACCAGCATAGGGTGAAGGGTATAATTAACACTGGGGGAATACAGATTTCACCAACGTAGGGTGAAGGGTGTAATTAACACTGGGGGAATACAGATTTCACCAGCGTAGGGTGAAGGGTGTAATGAACACTGGGGGAATACAGATTTTACCAGCGTAGGGTGAAGGGTATAATTAACACTGGGGGAATACAGAATTACCAGCATAGGGTGAAGGGTGTAATTAAAACTGGGGGAATACAGATTTTTCCAGCATAGGGTGAAGGGTATAATTAACACTGGGGGAATACAGATTTTACCAGCGTAGGGTGAAGGGTGTAATTAAAACTGGGGGAATACAGATTTTGCCAGCATAGTGTGAAGCGTATAATTAACACTGGGGGAATACAGATTTTACCAGCGTAGGGTGATGGGTATAATTAAAACTGGGGGAATACAGATTTTACCAGCATAGGGTGAAGGGTATAATTAACACTGGGGGAATACAGATTTCACCAGCGTAGGGTGAAGGGTGTAATTAACACTGGGGGAATACAGATTTCACCAGCGTAGGGTGAAGGGTGTAATTAACACTAGGGGAATACAGATTTTACCAGCGTAGGGTGAAGGGTGTAATTAACACTGGGGGAATACAGATTTTACCAGCGTAGGGTGAAGGGTGTAATCAACAGTCTACATGGGGGAAATTATATGAGTGTATAAACAGTATACCCCAGAACTAAAATCATCAATTCCTTGTCATCCATCCACAAAACTGACTGTTTATAATTCATCATAGAAAGTATACTCACTCAGAATCCCCATTGCCGGTACACATGCCAAACTGCCTAGTCCCAGACTCCATACATTGTCGCACCATTAGTCTGTACCGAGGCTCAAAGATATGTAGTGGACAGGGAATCCCAGGAAATGCCATCGTACACACAAATACAGGGATCTCGTGTTGGTCTGTCACCATCCTGTACAAACACAACTTCACGATTTTAGATCTGATTGAAAGACCAAAGTGTTGTTATGCCAGTGCTTTATAATTAACATATTTTTATATTACAACAAACTGAAACTGAACGGACTCAATATGGTACTTAAACTTATGTGATTTTTTTAAAAACAAACACTGTTAGACTCTTTCATGACCGGGGCTGTAGAATAGGGAAACTCCATCCAAGGGTTTTTCAAATAGGAAAAAAACCAGACTTGCCTAGACCTTGGATTTTAGCCAATTTGACACCCTGTGCAGAACTTTACTTTTCCTACACCCCTGGGAATGAAAGAATATTTTGCTCACATTCCAATCGCCATATTTAGCTCAGAAATCACAACAAGAGGCCCATGGGCCTTAACGGTCACCTGAGTCTACAGTTTTTGTTTTTTTTTGTTGAAATATGTACCAATTTGAGTAAAAAATAGTATAATGTTAACTTAACTTTGTCAGGACCATGAGCTGATCATTCCAAGACCAATTTTAAGTGAGATCGGCCTATTAGAATTTAGTAGCAAAATAGCGGCCATGGCAGCCAAATTGTGTTTCTGATTGACCCGAAAAATAACAACACTCTGTCAGGACCATGAGCTGATCATTCCTACAAAGTTTCAGTTCAATCAGCCTAGCAGAACTTGACTTTAAGTTTGAAATAGTTTTTCAAAATGGCGGCCGTGGCGGCCATATTGGATTTCTGAACGACCCGAAAAATAACAACACTTTGTCAGGACCATGAGTCTATATCATTCCTACAAACTTTAAGTTCAATCGGTCCAGCAGAACTTGACTTTAAGTTTGAAATAGGTTTTCAAAATGGCGGCCGTGGCGGCCATATTGGATTTCTGATTGACCTAAAAAATAACAACACTTTGTCAGGACCATGAGCTGATCATTCCTACAAACTTTCAGTTCAATCGGCCTAGCAGAACTTGACTTTAAGTTTGAAATAGGTTTTCAAAATGGCGGCCGTGGCGGCCATATTGGATTTCTGATCGACCCGAAAAATAACAACACTTTGTCAGGACCATGAGGCGATCATTCCTACCAACTTTCAGTTCAATCGGTCCAGCAGAACTTGACTTTAAGTTTGAAATAGGTTTTCAAAATGGCGGCCGTGGCGGCCATATTGGATTTCTGATCGACCCGAAAAATAACAACACTTTGTCAGGACCATGAGGCGATCATTCCTACCAACTTTCAGTTCAATCGGTCCAGCAGAACTTGACTTTAAGTTTGAAATAGGTTTTCAAAATGGCGGCCGTGGCGGCCATATTGGATTTCTGATCGACCCGAAAAATAACAACACTTTGTCAGGACCATGAGGCGATCATTCCTACCAACTTTCAGTTCAATCGGTCCAGCAGAACTTGACTTTAAGTTTGAAATAGGTTTTCAAAATGGCGGCCGTGGCGGCCATATTGGATTTCTGATCGACCCGAAAAATAACAACACTTTGTCAGGACCATGAGGCGATCATTCCTACCAACTTTCAGTTCAATCGGTCCAGCAGAACTTGACTTTAAGTTTGAAATAGGTTTTCAAAATGGCGGCCGTGGCGGCCATATTGGATTTCTGATCGACCCGAAAAATAACAACACTTTGTCAGGACCATGAGGCGATCATTCCTACCAACTTTCAGTTCAATCGGTCCAGCAGAACTTGACTTTAAGTTTGAAATAGGTTTTCAAAATGGCGGCCGTGGCGGCCATATTGGATTTCTGATCGACCCGAAAAATAACAACACTTTGTCAGGACCATGAGGCGATCATTCCTACCAACTTTCAGTTCAATCGGTCCAGCAGAACTTGACTTTAAGTTTGAAATAGGTTTTCAAAATGGCGGCCGTGGCGGCCATATTGGATTTCTGATCGACCCGAAAAATAACAACACTTTGTCAGGACCATGAGGCGATCATTCCTACCAACTTTCAGTTCAATCGGTCCAGCAGAACTTGACTTTAAGTTTGAAATAGGTTTTCAAAATGGCGGCCGTGGCGGCCATATTGGATTTCTGATCGACCCGAAAAATAACAACACTTTGTCAGGACCATGAGGCGATCATTCCTACCAACTTTCAGTTCAATCGGTCCAGCAGAACTTGACTTTAAGTTTGAAATAGGTTTTCAAAATGGCGGCCGTGGCGGCCATATTGGATTTCTGATCGACCCGAAAAATAACAACACTTTGTCAGGACCATGAGGCGATCATTCCTACCAACTTTCAGTTCAATCGGTCCAGCAGAACTTGACTTTAAGTTTGAAATAGGTTTTCAAAATGGCGGCCGTGGCGGCCATATTGGATTTCTGATCGACCCGAAAAATAACAACACTTTGTCAGGACCATGAGGCGATCATTCCTACCAACTTTCAGTTCAATCGGTCCAGCAGAACTTGACTTTAAGTTTGAAATAGGTTTTCAAAATGGCGGCCGTGGCGGCCATATTGGATTTCTGATCGACCCGAAAAATAACAACACTTTGTCAGGACCATGAGGCGATCATTCCTACCAACTTTCAGTTCAATCGGTCCAGCAGAACTTGACTTTAAGTTTGAAATAGGTTTTCAAAATGGCGGCCGTGGCGGCCATATTGGATTTCTGATCGACCCGAAAAATAACAACACTTTGTCAGGACCATGAGGCGATCATTCCTACCAACTTTCAGTTCAATCGGTCCAGCAGAACTTGACTTTAAGTTTGAAATAGGTTTTCAAAATGGCGGCCGTGGCGGCCATATTGGATTTCTGATCGACCCGAAAAATAACAACACTTTGTCAGGACCATGAGGCGATCATTCCTACCAACTTTCAGTTCAATCGGTCCAGCAGAACTTGACTTTAAGTTTGAAATAGGTTTTCAAAATGGCGGCCGTGGCGGCCATATTGGATTTCTGATCGACCCGAAAAATAACAACACTTTGTCAGGACCATGAGGCGATCATTCCTACCAACTTTCAGTTCAATCGGTCCAGCAGAACTTGACTTTAAGTTTGAAATAGGTTTTCAAAATGGCGGCCGTGGCGGCCATATTGGATTTCTGATCGACCCGAAAAATAACAACACTTTGTCAGGACCATGAGGCGATCATTCCTACCAACTTTCAGTTCAATCGGTCCAGCAGAACTTGACTTTAAGTTTGAAATAGGTTTTCAAAATGGCGGCCGTGGCGGCCATATTGGATTTCTGATCGACCCGAAAAATAACAACACTTTGTCAGGACCATGAGGCGATCATTCCTACCAACTTTCAGTTCAATCGGTCCAGCAGAACTTGACTTTAAGTTTGAAATAGGTTTTCAAAATGGCGGCCGTGGCGGCCATATTGGATTTCTGATCGACCCGAAAAATAACAACACTTTGTCAGGACCATGAGGCGATCATTCCTACCAACTTTCAGTTCAATCGGCCCAGCAGAACTTGACTTTAAGTTTGAAATGTAAAATGTTAACGGACGACGGACGACGGACGAAAACGGATAGCAATAGGTCACTTGAGCTAAAGCTCAGGTGACCTAAAAACTTGGAGACAATACCAAATCTCAGTCCCAAATCTACCTGCTGGAAAAAACACTGTATAATCATACCGTGACAGTTCTTCCATCTCATCTTCGTGTGTTTTCCTACGTTGTTCCAATTCCTGTCTGAAATAAGTTTCCACAATTCCGGCAATATTTTCAGTAATTGTTTGTCTCCTTTCAGCTAGGTACTGGAAAAAAATGAATTCAGTAAATTTATGTAATTCAGCATCAAGTTTTCATAATAAGTGTAATTTGTGGCATTGGATGTTTCAATAAAGAAATTGTTTTATAACATTAGACGGATAAACAAATGGTTGATTATATAAACAACCATCTGCTTGACCCTGCAAAGTTAAATAATTGTTTGCCTTATGAAACATCTATAGTGTTGAATATTAATATAAATGTTTCATAAGGCAACCAATTTATTACTACATGGACTAGCAGATGGTTGTTTATATAACACTAACTTTACAGGGACCAGCAGATTGTTGTTTATATAACACTGTAACTTTACAGGGACCAACAGATGGCTGTTTATATAACACTATAACTTTACAGGAAATAGCAAATGGATTCACTTTGTTTCAAGGTTTATTTGTTTCATTGTATCTCAAGAGGACACAACACTGACAACACATACCTCAACCAGAGAACTTTTACAGAGTGGACACTGGCTCTGATGGTCAAGGCAGCGGTCAAGACAATGTCGACAAAAGGCATGTCCACAGGGTGTGGTCACTGGTTCATAGAGGAGACGATAGCACAGACTGCACTCAAAATCCTCCTGGTTCAGCAGTTCTGGTTTGATCTCCACAGCATCTATCGGCAATTTGGGGTCATTTTCTAGGGTGAAAAATAACTCAAAATTAGTTTAAATTACTTGTTAATATTCCTATTTTCACATTTTGATTTTGTGGCAGAACATTTTGCTCCAATGTGTCTGAAATGTCAAAACAAGCAGTCAAATACTAAACTGTCCTATTTGTGTTGTACCTGTAGTAGACTTAACGTATTGTTTGTCATTAAATATATATATAAACAGAGGTGCTGTAATTATTGTATCATAAGTCATGATTTCAAAAGATAGTTTCCGAACTGAGGTCAGGTCAGGGGATGTGTCTTTGTGCAAAGAATTATGATTTTACATTGACTGGCTGTTGAAAATTGGACTCATGTATTTTGTATACACAGAACTAAAGAATTGGTGGAAGGGGGACGGAGAGCTACCGGATTACAAACTAAGTAAAGACTTTGAACAAACAAGTCGTCATTATTTACATATAAACACCTACTATGCAGTTTAAAAGGTGATTCCTGAAATGGACTGGTAGGTGTAGCACCACTGGTATTCCTGGTACGTTTGTGACCCTGACATGGTGGTGACTGTGACCTTGACCGTCTCTGTTCAAGGAAAGGTGACCCACTTCTTGAGTTTGGAGCAGATGAGTCTGTGAAATAATAGATTCTTCATAAATCTTCAAAAGAGTGTGTAATTTACATGGTATTTTTGGAACCACCCACCTCAGCCTAGAACTGGTGGTATAAGGTTCAAGCAGTTCGGTGTAAGTTCCACACTGAGCCTGGTGGTAAATGTTCCAGGTTCATTTCTGCAGCATAAGTTCTAGGCTCAGGCCTGTGGTATAATTTCTAGGCTAAGGCCTGCGGTATAATTTCTAGGGCAAGGCCTGCAGTATAATTTCCAGGCTGAGGCCTGCGGTATAATTTCTAGGCCAAGGCCTGCAGTATAATTTCCAGGCTGAGGCCTGCAGTATAATTTCTAGGCAGAAGCCTGCGGTCTAATTTCTAGGCTAAGACATGTGGTATACTTTCTAAGCTAAGACATGTGGTATAATGTCTAGGCTAAGACATGTGGTATAAGTTCTAGGCTACGTCGACCTGCAGTATAATTTCTAGGCCAAGGCCTGCAGTATAATTTCTAGGCTAAGACATGTGATATAAGTTCTAGGCTAAGCCTAGGTTTGGAGCCACCATCGGCCTTAGCCTAGAGCTTATACCTGTGCCCTTAGCATAGAACTCAGATTGCATGTTTTCTTGTCAGTATCACCTCTAAATTATAAAAGAAACTGACTTTAGTATAAATCTGTCTTAATAACTTTATAATACAACTTGACATCCTTAAATTAAAATTACTACTAGTCCACTCTCTATAAAAGTAAGGAACATCAAAATATTTCACTGCTGGAATTACATGCACTATGTTCATCACTTACAATGTGAACCTTTCTCAGCCTCCTCCTGCCATCCTGCTGCTGCTTGGCCCTTTGCACTACTTGGTCCTGATTCGTGCATGTCAGGCTAAAATAAGAAAATATATTAAATATGGGATTTATTGGAGGAACTTATTATTTAACACTTGTCAACTTTTGCTAGTTCAAAAGATATCTGAACAGGAATGAACTTATTTGTCAGTTTGCACTGCAATGATTTCAATAATAGTTTGTTTTACCTGCTTTATATTTAGTTTTACTGAAAGTTGCATAATAAGTGGATGGATAACTTGTGTATGAAATATTAAATATTATGAAAACAGAACTATGTAAACAATTCAACATACCAGGCCTCACCAACAATCTATACCAGTTGGAAAGAGTGCTTTCAAAACAGTTTTACAACAATGATTTTTTTAATCTACAAGATAACTAATAACTTTGATAACTGCAATTCTTTTGTTGACGGAGTGTATTTTTTTGGGGCAAAGTATTGTTTGAAACAATAGCCATCTACAACCTGATCTGTGTCACTCAGAATACAAAGAGTAAAGCCATTTTTATAGAGTTTTTTTATGTATTTGGAAACACAAATGCCTTCCAATTTTTTCTCCAATCCCATCTCCTGGGTTCTTGATCTCTTTAATTAGGTCACTTTGTTTCCCTTTATCTAGAATTCTTGGCCCTGAAGGCTCGAGGAAACTTGCCATTTTAGTGCCTTTTAAGATTAAAACATAGCCTCACTGCTGTGTTGAATGGTGGGGGGCTATATCTTACAAATGACATCATTGCAAGCATCCATCTGACCATGTTAGGTTCATAATAATTAGAACCATTCTTCACAAAAATGAATGAAACAAAATAGATTATCAACATAAGGGACTCTCAAGTCAGATGAAATATTGGAGGTGCCATTTCAAATAGTTTATTCCTCAAAAAAGTGGAAGAAAATCTTGGAGAATTTTCCTTAAACTCTAACCATAACTGTGTCAGTTTCATAAATTTGCATTCCTGCTGAAGATCAAAATAATTTGTTTTACAGCATATTCACCTTAAACTCAAATAGAGGCATGTGCTCCTGGTTGGTAACAGCAAATGATGTTGCTGTGGTAACTGTTTCTGTGATAATATTTTTCAATGTCATGATGGTATCCATGGCAATATCTGGCTGGAGAATGGCGGAGCTGAAATTCGACATTATAAGTTGTTGTAGTTTGGCTGGACTCAGGTGACTCGAGATCACTCCTGCTTTGGGATCATTTGATGGCAAAGGTGACAAAATTTTGTGGAGTGCCTGCAAGTTTAAAAATATATTTCTCATAAATATTTGAATTTGAACTGAATATCGTACAGATTAAGTACTTCTTTCCAATTGATCAACATTTTTTCAACTGACATGATATATTAATTGAACACAAAAACAAGAGGCCCATGGGCCTTAACGGTCACCTGAGTCCTACAATATTTATTTTTGTTGTTGAAATATGTACCAATTTGAGTAAAAAATAGTATAATGTTAACTTAACTTTGTCAGGACCATGAGCTGATCATTCCTAGACCAATTTTAAGTGAGATCGGCCTATTAGAACTTAGTAGCAAAATAGCGGCCATGGCAGCCAAATTGTATTTCTGATTGACCCGAAAAATAACAACACTTTGTCAGGACCATGAGGCGATCATTCCTACCAACTTTCAGTTCAATCGGTCCAGCAGAACTTGACTTTAAGTTTGAAATAGGTTTTCAAAATGGCGGCCGTGGCGGCCATATTGGATTTCTGATCGACCCGAAAAATAACAACACTTTGTCAGGACCATGAGGCGATCATTCCTACCAACTTTCAGTTCAATCGGTCCAGCAGAACTTGACTTTAAGTTTGAAATAGGTTTTCAAAATGGCGGCCGTGGCGGCCATATTGGATTTCTGATCGACCCGAAAAATAACAACACTTTGTCAGGACCATGAGGCGATCATTCCTACCAACTTTCAGTTCAATCGGCCCAGCAGAACTTGACTTTAAGTTTGAAATGTAAAATGTTAACGGACGACGGACGACGGACGACGACGGACGAAAACGGATAGCAATAGGTCACTTGAGCTAAAGCTCAGGTGACCTAAAAAACCTCTACTTGATCTATGATCAAAGAATCATGTTGAAAAGTTTCATATTATCTACTATTGAACTTTATCGTATCAAGTAAAGTGGCTATTAGGTATATGAAGAGACTTTTGAAGAAATTATACACATCCATAATTATTGTCAAGCAATATTCAAAAGTAGATCAATATAAAAACAGAGTCAACAGTATAAATTACAGATTAAATGATGCTACTCACTTTAGACAGGTAGTTTTTTGCTAAGATAATTGTGGGATCCATAGCTAGACACTGAAGTAAGACTACAACTGCATCTCCATACCGTCCAAGTCCATACAGAGCACACCCTTTCCGAAAATAGCCCTGTAAGAAAAACATATTGATCAAACATCATGAAATGTTTCACTAACGGTTACAGACTGTATAATTTTTATTTATTTATTTTATTTTATTTTTTTTCAAATTTTTACATTAGTATACAATACAGTTACAATATATATACATAACATGACATAACACTGTATCATTTAATAATATTGTCCTATGCAAGACTTAAGAGTGAGCCGAGGAAACAAAATAACAATGTTAACTGGGAAAATTAGCAATATCTAATTACCTTTGGCCAATCTGGTCGAAGTCTGATGACAAGTTCGCCATCCCTTAAAGCTTCCTCATATTTGTCTAAAGATGCATAAGCATGTGATCGGTTGCTCAGTAAAAGGTGATCGTTTGGTGCTGAAGCACAAAACATAAAACATATGTAATTATAAGCACATATAATACTAAACATAAAATTATAGGTTCATGTTGTAAGTATTTAAGAATTCAATATATCCATATATGTACATACAAACAAATTTCAAGCTGGGAAAACATGTTTTCGTAAAAAGGTAATAGTTTCCCTGTATCAATCTGTCAATTACATAGGAATGCTAGTCGTTTCGGGACATGACACAAGATGTTTCGGGACATATATAATTTTCAATTACAAATTACATTTTGCTCCCGTTTCATATAAGGTCCTGTAAATACACAAGTATGGTTTTATTCTATGACCTGTGTCACGACTTTACCCATTATAAGGTCCTGTAAATACACAAGTATGGTTTTATTCTATGACCTGTGTCACGACTTACCCATACTTGGGATCATTAATTAGTGTAACCAGATTGCGTGCTTGAGGGGATACCTGCCAACATTTACACGATTGACATCGTGTTGTTCCTGGTGAAACTAATCTCATCATCAAAAACAGATCTAGAGGAACAATTATGAAATTCACATTCAATTTCTTTCATTATTGATAGGTTGATTCCTTGTTTTAGTAATAATGTTCTAGTTCTAGCATATAGTGACCACCTTCAACCAACTGAAGATTTTGTCACGAAGTTGGGTTTATGCAGCACAAATGACAGACTATATATATTACATAATAATTAATAATTTATCAATAAAGTTAAAGTTAAGAGAAGGAAAATTTAGTTCGAGGAGAGTCCGAGAGAGAGGTCCGAGCAAGCCAGTGATTGGGCAGCCCCAACCGACAAAGCTTGTTCAGAAAAGGGGGGAAAAGAAGAGAAGTGGTAAATTATTATGTAAAGTCTGTTTAAGTAACTAATTACTCTGCATCTTCAATTTTATAGGTGTACCAGCTGGAAAGAGATGTTTTGAAAGAGTTGAAAGTGGGTGCATGAACGATGTCCGATGGTAATTTGTTCCAGTCTAGTATGGTACGAGGAAAAAATAATTGTTGTCTAGTGAGTGTTTTCGAGCATTGCTGCTGGTATTGGACCTGATGGGAATTTCTAGGAATTCTTCTCAGCCAGGCTCGGTGCATCCTGTCAGTCGTGGATATAGGGTACATTGATTCTAACAATGTTTTAAGCAATTTATTTTTGCTATATTGAAATTAAATTTCATGAAAGTAAAAACGTGAAACACATACTAACATAGAATATGTTTTAGACATGAGAATCAATTCATCAAATTCAACAATACATTTTGAACGGTGTTTTTATGTTGTGTAAAGAAAATAGACAATGGTAGGGCCTATAGATCTTACAGAAAACATAATTCCGAAACGACTTTTTACATGTCCCGAAACGACTTGACACCTTACATAGAACATAATGTAAAGGCATTTCTTTATTATTTCGTTATTTTGTTTTTACATTTTTACAAATTTCGTTTCATCCGCGAAGAAATGGAAAGGATTGGAAAGATTACATTTTTCATAGCAACACTTTCGGACTTAGGCAAGTCTGAATACGTGCGTGTTTACAAATTACCGGAAGTTGACACATTATGTAAGCTTTTAACTTCCGGTTTATGAATTCTCTTATGAAACAGGTTATTTTATGGGTTAGCGATATAAATAAAAATGAAGAAAAGTATGAATTAAAAAATACATACCTAATAAAATGGCTTTGTTATAAAGGTTAATTGCCTTTTCAAATTCTCTTCTCTCAAAGAAGATATTCCCTTCCGATTTCAATCGCAGTGCCTCGCACTCCGATGGAAACCACACGTCGATCACCTGTTTCAAAAGTACATTTGTCTTGATAGACGACACATTAACGAAATGATTTGCTTTCCCACATCTTTTGCAGATTTTTGATTGGTCCCTTTCTACACATTTTCGACAAAATGTATGACCACAGGGAATTGTAACAGGGTCGCTGAGTAATCCTCTACATAAAACACAGGTGAATATACAGTTTTTGTTCATCATCGCGTCTTCCACTACAGAGTCTTGTTTGACAGCCTCCACAAGGGCTGTAACTAAATGTTTTAATACTCCTGGTCGTATGGAGTTTGTCAGTCTAAAAGCACTGCAGTAAGATTCGAATGCCCTTTCAAACTGGCCACTTCGAGCAAAACTGTCAGCTAGTCCAAAGTACAAATCAGATGACGGGCCATGCTCCCTGATTGTTCTCTCATATACATCCACGGCTAGTTCAAAATTATTTGTGTTGAATGCTTGCCTGGCAAGATCAACCATTTTGATGGTCTGCTTAGATAATAACTTCTACATATATAACTAAGGACACATGTGTGTGAGAACAGTGGTGATGTGCCTTGTATAACTGTCATATGACCTCATGCTCCAATCTGATTGGCTAATAAAATCCTATTCGTGGGGTGGGGGGTCATCGTTCGACCTCACAGTGCACTCTTTTTACATAATTGTCACAGTTATGAAAGAAACATCATATAAATTGTCCTTTGTGCGTTGATACAGCAAACCTGTTATATTTAGCCATTTAATGTTAACAGGGTTATATAATCTTTATGTGTGTGATTTATAAATGTTTCTGTTCGCTAATATGATATACTTTATAAATGGTGTATCCAATTATAGTAAGTAAAATATTGACCTCTGTGTAACTTTTGCAGTTAATTTTGTAACCAACTACAATGTATTTTAGATTTTGCATATTTACTGTATGATGATCCAACACCTTTAAATAGTTTTGTTATTCGTGCCCAATATATACTCAAATAGTCACATTCAATAAAGTAATGTCTATAATCCTCTGTGACATTACAAATGTTACATAAATTATTATCCTCGATTTTCCACTGATTTAGCAGTACTTTATTTGGTAATATGTTTTGAAAGAGTTTCCATCTATACATTTTATGACGGTTATCTTTCAGATTATAAAATATAAATTGAGGCAAATCATTAAAAAGTTGTGATCCTTCTATGTTCAGTACTCTCTTCCACTTTTCAATGGAGTGTGTTTTTATACACTTTTTTGCTATAAATGCATTGTACAAAAATGTGTTATTAATAGTTTCTATCTGTTTATACTGTTTTCCATCATATATTAGAAACCCTTTGCTACATTTTACCTGTGTGAATCTTGATTCATTTGTTTTTAATAAATCTAACCACGTTTTTGGTATTGCATTTTTTAAAGTGTTTAATTCACTTATCCAATTTCTAGTATCTTGTAATTTATTCAATATGTTTTGTTCGTCTTTTTCCCCGTGTCTATTAATAATATCATCGATTGTTATTATGTTACTATCAGCCCAGTGTTTGTAAACAAGTGATTTTCCTTTGAATTTTATATTGCTGTTGCCCCAGATAACTTCCTTTCTTACATCATAAAATGTTTTACAATTTCGTTTCAATCCCCCTCCTAGCCATATTCACGCCTCTAACATATCAATGTAAAAATCAGATATATCAGTTTTCCCAAGATTTGTTATTTTACCGATGTTCATTTTAAAAATGAGATATTTTTTTCCATATCTATCAAACATTTTTTCCGGTAATGATTTCCAATTTGCTTCACTGCCATCAATTAATCTTTTCACCCACCCCACTCAACATATCTATATGTGACTGAATATCTCTGATTTTCAGCCCGCCCTGTTCATACGTTCCTATCATCGTTTTTCTCTTCACCTTTTCACTACCTTCCCATATAAACCCAAAGACCTTTTGCTCTAATTCAATTATTTGACTCTTTGATATTACTTGCATATTTGCTAAATATGTTATTTTTGGAATTAAAAGAGTTTGTACTATAACCGATTTTCCGATGAAAGTGAGTTTTCTTTTTTTCCAATTTTTAAGCATTTCATCCATTGTTGTCTTTTTACTTTCCCAATTCAAATTATTACAGACTTTTGTATTTGTCCCAAAGTATATTCCAAGTGATTTAATTTCCGTTTTCCATTTAATCCCCTCGTAATGTTTTCCTTTTCTTTTATTGCTACCCAACCATAAGCCCTCAGTATATATAGTCATTATAAACATGTTTTTAATTATGATACCATACAGTGCAAGTCTGCAGCATACACCAAACACACTCCCACAAATAAATAAACTACTAGCATTGATGTCATAACATTAAAAATACACTGTTTCCACATAAAGAAAATTAACGCTTAAATTTTACCTCTGATATAATTCCTATAAAAATGTACAATTTCATATTGTAAACTAAATATAGATATATATGGCAGATTTAAATTATATGACTGTGCAGACGCCTTCTAGCTTCGCACTAGATGAAAAACATTTTGGGCTCTGTGGAATAGACATACATATATAGAATTTCACTTCGAAAGCTCGTGAGTTCACTCACTCAGAGCAGCTGAATGACAATGACAACTTTTTATTCTCGTAAACTGGTTACAGCGTAGAGATTTACATTTACATATATATATATATAGAACAGTGAATCATGGTGTTAATGGACAGTGTTCGTTGTTGTGGTGCTCCGAGACGAACACATTTAAAAACAAGAGGCCCAGAGGGCCTGTATCGCTCACCTGAATGTGTTTAAAATAATTGTTATGAATTAAAGATATAGCACTCAATGGTAGGTGCTGTAAGTACATGTGAAATTTCAGAAAGATCAATCCAGTACTTGAGATATAGCGAAAACAAACTTCAAACAGAGCCCCACCCCTATGCCCCTAGGGGTTCATACCCACTGTTTATACAAAATTAAGTCCCCTTGGCCCAAGGATGCTCCAGACTAAATTAGGATAAAATCCCTTAATCCCTATGGTAGAAGAAGGATTTTAAAGATTTTACCTCTAATTCCCCTATTGGGCCCGCCTCTCTGCTTCCAGGGGGGTTAGACACACCATTTATACAAAATTGGTTCCCCTTCACCCAAGGATGCTTCATACCAAATTTGGACAAAATCCTGTCATTCGTACAGAAGAAGAAGGTTTTTGAAGAATTTGCTATGTTTTCCTTAATGGGCCCCGCCAATCTGCCCCCTTGGAGACCACACCCACTGCCTATACAAAATTGAGTCCCCTTGGCCATAGGATCCTCCAGACCAAATTAGGATAAAATCCCTTAATCCCGATGGTCGAAGAAGGATTTTAAAAGTTTTACCTCTATTTCCCCTATTGGGTCTGCCCCTGAGGTCCCAGGGGGACACACCCATTATTTATACAAAATTTGTTCCCTTTTACCAGAGGATACTCCACACAAAACATTGACCAAATCCTTTCATTCCGACAGAAGAATAAGAATTTTAAAGAATAATTTGCTATGTTTTCCCTATTGGACCCGCCCCTAAGGCCCCTGGGGGGCCAGACCCCCAGTTTATACAAAATTGGTTCCTCTTCCCTCAAGGATGCTTCTGACCAAATATGGAACAAATCCTTTCATTCCTACAGAAGGACAAGGATTTTAAAGAATTTGCTATATTTCCCCTATTGGGCCCTGCCCCTCAGCCCCCAGGGGGGCCACACCCACCATTTATACAAAATTGGTTCCCCTTCACCCAAGAATGCTTCAGACCAAATATGGGCCAAATCCTTTCATTTCTACAGAATGAGAAGGATTTTAAAGAATTTGCTATGTTTCTCCTATTGGGGCACGCCCCTCAGGCCCCTGGGTGGCCAGACCCACGGTTTATACAAAATTGGTTCCCATCCACCCAAGGATGATTCAGACTTAATATGGAACAAATGCTTTCATTCCTACATAAGAAGAAGGATTTTAAAGAATTTGCTATATTTCTGGCCTGCAGTAGTTGAGCGTTCGCCCCTGTGAGAAAGGCTTTGGGTTCTTTCCCCGAGACATACCAGAGTCTGTAAATTTACGCTCAGCAATTTAGGAGTGGGACGACTGGTTCGCCCAGTGTCAGTATTATGTGACCGGATGGGGTGTTTCAGTGAGGTAGCACTATAAGTCGTCATCAGTTCGGCGCTATCACAAGGAGACAAACACGAACATATCGCAGCCGCCAAAAACACACACGGATACACTACACGCATGCATCTTGCACATAGGACATTTAACAATGCTAAACCAAACCAAACCAATTAGCCCCAAAAATCCATAACACCCCATCTATTTCGCCCGAAAAAACTACAACGCCCCAAAAAATTCTTTCATGAAAGTCATTTATTTGACAAATTTTAAAGTGAAATATCTACCTTTTATTAAATATTCGTAAAGATAAAAAAATAAAACAAGAGGCCCAAGAGGGCCTGTATCGCTCACCTGAATATTTAAGCAGTCATAGCAAAATATTCTCATTAAATATTATATTGCACTAAAAATATTTCCCTCGCAAACTTTGTTGGCTCCATCTGTTAAAACTACGAGCAAAATATTATTATAAGATTCTATGCTTTTTGATTCTTCTTCAGAAGTTGCTCGACATATTTTTCCCTGTGACCTTGTAAGTAGGTCAATGTCATTTTCCTTTTCCAATTGGTTAGCTCTATTCCTTAAAGCTTCTATATTATATATTATAATTGTATGCCTTTTTATTCTTCAGAAGAAGTAGTTTGAACTATTTGACATATTTGATTGCTGTGACCATGAAAGTAAGTCAAGGTCGATTTCATTCACAAACTTTGTTTGGCTCTATCCCAGGAAGCCATCAATCAAATATAAAGATTCTATACCTTCAAGTTCTTCAGAAGAAGTCGTTTGAAGCATTTGACATATTTGACCCCTGTGACCTTGAAAGAAGGTCAAACTAATTTTCATTCTCAAACTTTGTTGGACTCTATCCAAGGAAGCCACCAGCCAAATATAAAGATTCTATACCTTTCAGTT